ACCACATATGTCAGGCCAATCCTGGAGTATGCAGCCCCAGCATGGAGTCCATATCTAGTCAAGGATAAGACTAAACTGGAAAAGGTTCAAAGGTTTGCCACCAGACTAGTACCCGAGCTGAGAGGTATGAGCTACGAGGAGAGACTACGGGAATTAAACCTCACTTCGCTGGAAGACAGAAGAGTTAGGGGGGACATGATCACCACATTCAAGATTCTGAAGGGGATTGATAGGGTAGATAAAGACAGTCTATTTAACACAAGGGGAACACGCACAAGGGGACACAGGTGGAAACTGAGTGCCCAAATGAGCCACAGAGATATTAGAAAGAACTTTTTTAGTGTCAGAGTGGTTGACAAATGGAATGCATTAGGGGGTGATGTGGTGGAGGCTGACTCCATACACAGTTTCAAGTGTAAATATGACAGAGCCCGATAGGCTCAGGAATCTGTACACCTGTTGATTGACGGTTGAGAGGCGGGACCAAAGAGCCAGAGCTCAACCCCCGCAAACACAACTAGGTGAGTACAACTAGGTGAGTACACACACTCTCTCTCACACACACACTCTCACACACACACACTCTCACACACACACACTCTCACACACACACACTCTCACACACACACACTCTCACACACACACACTCTCACACACACACACTCTCACACACACACACTCTCACACACACACACACTCTCACACACACACACTCTCACACACACACACTCACACACACACACACTCTCACACACACACTCTCACACACACTCTTACACACACTCTCACACACACACACACACACACACACACTCACACACACACACTCTCTCACACACACTCTCTCACACACACTCTCTCACACACACTCTCTCTCACACACACTCTCACACACACACTCTCACACACACACTCTCACACACACACTCTCACACACACACTCTCACACACACACTCTCACACACACACACTCACACACACACTCACTCACACACACACTCACTCACACACACACTCACTCACACACACACTCACTCACACACTCTCACTCACACACTCTCACTCACACACTGAGTAGATATGATAGAGCCCAGTAGGCTCAGGAACCTGTACATTAGTTGATTGATAGTTGAGAGGCGGGACCAAAGAGCCAGAGTTCAACCCCCGCAAACACAATTAGGTAAGTACAACTAGGAAACTAGGTAAGTACACGTTTCGTACCTCGATGGGATCATATCCAGGAGTCAGGATTCATCAACCACTTAAGTGTCCACTTGCGAAACCTGTACATCTTTTCGTATCAGAGGGGAGCTAAGATTGCATTAGATACATAGTTCACGAGCTCTGAAGCTCTATGAGGTCGTCCATAACAACGACACCCTTAGGCCGAGACCGACCTCTCAACATGTCGTAGCTCGTATACTGTCTAATACACACGAAGCCGCCACGATCAAAGAAAAGATGTAAAGGTTTCGTAAGTAGACACGTAAATACTTCATGAATCGTGGTCATGACTGTAAATATAGAGAATTAAGCAAGCTGCAATGAAGCCGTAGATTAAATATCTTCAACCCAGGATAATCTAGAGAGCCCTTGCTATAGCTAGATTAATACCACAGATTAATTGATCAACAATTTTCCTGCCATCATTGCAACGGGGTTCATTAGAGTTGCATTGATTGATTGATGATAGTTTACCCTTGTTTCATATGAGCAAAGGTCATCAATACATGACCTTTATCTACATGGCATCTTTATCCAAAGTTAAAATATCCAAAAACATGGCTTTGGCGGGCCATGGAGATTGTGAATGTTGAGCAAAACCTTTAAACGACTAAGGTAATCCATAATCCAACATCATGGTGGACTCTGATCAAAAGCACGACAAAAATGGGTTAAAATCCATAAGGATCCTGTAATCCATTCGCATGAGGCGAATGGATTACAGCGACGTGGCCGCTGATTGGAGATGGGATCACAGCAGGTAATTGTCGAAAAGTGATTGGGACCTCTAAGAGTTGCTAGTCTCCCAGAAGAGCACCACCAAGCCATGCCAATAATGCCGGAGCAGCATTAAACTAATGAGATTCACAAACATTATATGACTTAAAAATAAGGAATCAATGCATAAAAAGCACACACACACATGATGCGAATATGATGATGCTTCAGGGGTTCAGGGCTGGTGGAACCTCACCCTGAAGCAACGGTGCCAGACTGTGGGTCTATATTTGTCAGGTATTTGCCACTAGTTTCATGTTCGAAATGGATTGAGCATTTGTTCCATATCTGGCCTGCGCTATGTAATGGTTCTGTGAGAGGTATTCAAAACATGCACAAAAATAAACACGAACTCAAAAAAAAGGTGAAAAAAAATCGAATAGGTTGTTTTTGTTGGTGTAAACAATTGTTTTTATATTAAAATATAAAATATAAATATTTTAATTTATAGTAAAGAATTGTAATGCTAAAATATGAATACAGTACATAAAAATAATAATAATATATTATTATTATTATTATTATGTTATAATGAGAAAATCATTTCGGGGAAATGGAGTGACTCGAACCGGCGTTCTGGTTCCCTCAGACACCTGCCTTAGCCGACTCAGCCATGATAGGACAAAAAGCCGACCAACCTGGAACTCTACTAAATGGACTGAGAGGTTCTGGAGGCCCTGAACTAGATCCCAACCAGGGTTCGACACACAGCCCGCCTAACCCCCCCCCTACACTTCAGCCTGCAGTAATGGTATCTACACTCTTACGTCACATTTTCGAATCACAGTCTGTCTCTGAACTTTATTAAATATTCTTTATATTGTATTGGAATCTCATCCGATAAAGTCTACGGATAACACCCATAGGATTTCATTACCTTAGTATTTATTTTCAATATACAAAAGTTCTTTCATTCTTGTAAAGCCACTAGCATGCATAGCGTTTTGGGCAGGTCTTTAACCTTAATTTTTCCTGCAATACGACCCGCCAAATGGCTTAACAACCAGGTACCCATTCACTGCTGGGTGAATAGAGGCGTACAGTTAAGGATTGGTGCCAAGTCAATCCTCCCCAGCCAGGATACGAACCCAGGCCAAATCACTCGCTAAGCGACGGTCTGAAGGGAAGGAAACTATCAGGGGGGAAAGCACCAAGCCATTAGACTATATAGCATATGGAAGGGGGTCAGGATAAGGATTTGGGATGAGACGGGGGCGGGGATAGTGCGCAATTACTTGGATTAACCTGAGGTTACCTTGAGGTGCTTCCGGGGCTTAGCGTCCCCGCGACCCGGTCGTCGACCAGGCCTCCTGGTTGCTGGACTGATCAACCAGGCTGTTGGACGCGGCTGCTCGCAGCCTGACGTATGAGTCACAGCCTGGTTGATCAGGTATATGGTCGGGAATTGAACGCCGACCAGCATGAAGCGAGACCGTCGGTCTGAGTGTTTCACCACTGCGCCACGGGGACTATTTACACTCATAATTCGCCTTTAAACAACCCGTCATCTTAAAGTCGTTCCGGTACGTTACGGTATCCAACGTACCAAATACATCGTACTATGAAAAGCTTACAAAAAATTCCACAATTTAAAAGCATCAGTTGGTTGAATTACCACGGTGACTTGAGTTGGTCAATTCCTCGTTATAAACCGTTGCATTTTGTACGTTGTCGCAGGCCAAGAGAACGGGGCAGCTTTAATATCAACCGGCCATCCAAAAAAAGTATCTTTTGTTGCTGCGAATGGAAGTAAAAAAATTCTTGCAGTCTATAAAAGTCCAACTTTTGTGCTACGAAAGAAGGACACTATCAACCCTAAGCCTTCTGGAGCACATATATAGTATGTGTAGTATATGAGTATATAAGTATAGCACATATATGGACTAAATTAGCTCTAAGAAAAAGGTCTACATAGGTCTACATTAGGTCTAATTTAGGTCTAATTTATTTCTAATTTAAGTCTAAGAAAAACGTCTAAATTAGGTCTAATTTAGGTCTAAGAAAAAGGTCTAGATTAGGTCTATATTAGGTCGAACCAGCGACCACATCAACCCTAGGCCCGCAGGTCTACCTATACTGAGCCAGCTACTGAGTAGTTAATTGCTGCAGGCTGCGGTTTATGTGGTCCGTGGTTCGAGGCTGCGATTGGCCAGGTGAATGGAATGGTATTATTTACGAATTGGTAGTTAGCTGGGTACACAGGAGCACTTAGTATGCAATGTTGGTACCGTGAATGTTGGTATCGTGAATGTTTGGTACCGTGAATGTTTGGACCGTGAATGTTGGTACCGTGAATGTTTGGTACCGTGAGTGTTTGGTACCGTGAATGTTGGTACCGTGAGTGTTTGGTACCGTGAATGTTTGGTACCGTGAATGTTAGCACCATGAATGTTTGTACCGTGAACGTTTGTACCGTGAATGTTGGCACCATGAATGTTTGCTGGTAGGAAACATTGTGTATGATATACACAACACTCCCGTATCCATACAGAAGAAGAATAACGTAAAACAAGTTTAACATAAATCGCAACAGATAACAGCAAACGTTGAAAAAAAAATAGTCTTGAGGATAACAAGAATCTCCAATATACCTCCCAGGATATCTTGTTACAAACAGCCAAGGGACTTGTTTAAGGGGGGCCGGGGGGGGGGGGAAGGTAGTGTGTTGGTGTGTTTGAGTGTGGCAAGTTTAGCTTCCAACTTGGCCTCAAGTTTGGTCATATTGCTCTGACTACTTTTGTTTACCTTTGATGGCAAGTTATATAAAGTCTTTGTGAATGTTGTGAAATATTGAGTGGACTTGCCAAGTTATTTTTTTTATGCTGTGAATGTATTTTTATTTTTCCTGTTTTTTTTTTTATTGTGTTTTTTATTGTGTTTTTTTTTAATGTTTTTGGTTTTTAATGATGTAGTTTTTGTAGTTTTTCCGTATTTGTTTTTTTTATTTTTGCTTTTATTATATGATGAATCTCTTTTTAATGCTTTTTTCTGGGTTTCAGGTTAATGGTTCTTCTCCACGTTTGGCGGCTATCTGTGAACCTGTGAACTCTGTGAACCCTTGAACATCGCGGCTGTTTGTGAACCCTTGAACATCGCGGCTGTTTGTGAACCCTTGAACAACGCGGCTGTTTGTGAACCCTTGAACAACGCGGCTGTTTGTGAACCCTTGAACAACGCGGCTGTTTGTGAACCCTTGAACAACGCGGCTGTTTGTGAACCCTTGAACAACGCGGCTGTTTGTGAACCCTTGAACATCGCGGCTGTTTGTGAACCCTTGAACAACGCGGCTGTTTGTGAACCCTTGAACAACGCGGCTGTTTGTGAACCCTTGAACAACGCGGCTGTTTGTGAACCCTTGAACATCGCGGCTGCCTGTGTGAACCACTGAACATCGCGGGCTGCCTGTATGAACCACTGAACATCGCGGGCTGCCTGTGTGAACCACTGAACATCGCGGGCTGCCTGTATGAACCACTGAACATCACGGGCTGCCTGTGTGAACCACTGAACATCGCGGGCTGCCTGTGTGAACCACTGAACATCGCGGGCTGCCTGTATGAACCACTGAACATCACGGGCTGCCTGTGTGAACCACTGAACATCGCGGGCTGCCTGTATGAACCACTGAACATCACGGGCTGCCTGTGTGAACCACTGAACATCGCGGGCTGCCTGTATGAACCACTGAACATCGCGGGCTGCCTGCATGAACCACTGAACATCGTGGGCTGCCTGTATGAACCACTGAACATCGCGGGCTGCCTGTATGAACCACTGAACATCGCGGGCTGCCTGTGTGAACCACTGAACATCGCGGGCTGCCTGTGTGAACCACTGAACATCGCGGGCTGCCTGTATGAACCACTGAACATCGCGGGCTGCCTGTGTGAACCACTGAACATCACGGGCTGCCTGTGTGAACCACTGAACATCGCGGGCTGCCTGTGTGAACCACTGAACATCACGGGCTGCCTGTGTGAACCACTGAACATCCCGGGCTGCCTGTGTGAACCACTGAACATCGCGGGCTGCCTGAACCACTGAACATCACGGGCTGCCTGTGTGAACCACTGAACATCCCGGGCTGCCTGTATGAACCACTGAACATCACGGGCTGCCTGTGTGAACCACTGAACATCCCGGGCTGCCTGTATGAACCACTGAACATCCCGGGCTGCCTGTATGAACCACTGAACATCGCGGGCTGCCTGTGTGAACCACTGAACATCACGGGCTGCCTGTATGAACCACTGAACATCGCGGGCTGCCTGTATGAACCACTGAACATCGCGGGCTGCCTGTATGAACCACTGAACATCGCGGGCTGCCTGTGTGAACCACTGAACATCGCGGGCTGCCTGTATGAACCACTGAACATCACGGGCTGCCTGTGTGAACCACTGAACATCCCGGGCTGCCTGTATGAACCACTGAACATCCCGGGCTGCCTGTATGAACCACTGAACATCACGGGCTGCCTGTGTGAACCACTGAACATCACGGGCTGCCTGTATGAACCACTGAACATCCCGGGCTGCCTGTATGAACCACTGAACATCCCGGGCTGCCTGTATGAACCACTGAACATGAACTGCCTGTGTGAACCACTGAACATCACGGGCTGCCTGTGTGAACCACTGAACATCGCGGGCTGCCTGTGTGAACCACTGAACATCGCGGGCTGCCTGTATGAACCACTGAACATTGTGTCATTTCATGAGGATGGGCTGCATTAAAATGACAATAGACACCCTTACATGACACCAGACACCCCCACATGACACCAGACACCCCCACATGACACCAGACACCCCCACATGACACCCTTACATGACACCAGACACCCCCACATGACACCCTTACATGACACCAGACACCCCCACATGACACCAGACACCCCCCACATGACACCTTTACATGACACCAGACACCCCCCACATGACACCAGACACCCCCACATGACACCAGACACCCCCACATGACACCACATGACACCAGACACCCCCCACATGACACCAGACACCCCCACATGACACCAGACACCCCCCACATGACACCAGACACCCCCCACATGACACCAGACACCCCCACATGACACCAGACACCCCCCACCCCCCACATGACACCAGACACCCCCCCACATGACACCAGACACCCCCACATGACACCAGACACCCCCACATGACACCAGACACCCCCCACATGACACCAGACACCCCCCACATGACACCAGACACCCCCCACATGACACCAGACACCCCCCCCACATGACACCAGACACCCCCACATGACACCAGACACCCCCACATGACACCAGACACCCCCCACATGACACCAGACACCCCCACATGACACCAGACACCCCCACATGACACCAGACACCCCCACATGACACCAGACACCCCCCACATGACACCAGACACCCCCCACATGACACCAGACACCCCCACATGACACCAGACACCCCCCACATGACACCAGACACCCCCACATGACACCAGACACCCCCCACATGACACCAGACACCCCCACATGACACCAGACACCCCCACATGACACCAGACACCCCCACATGACACCAGACACCCCCACATGACACCAGACACCCCCACATGACACCAGACACCCCCCACATGACACCAGACACCCCCCACATGACACCAGACACCCCCCACATGACACCCCACCCCCCACATGACACCAGACACCCCCACATGACACCAGACACCCCCACATGACACCACATGACACCCACCCCCACATGACACCAGACACCCCCACATGACACCAGACACCCCCCACATGACACCAGACACCCCCCACATGACACCAGACACCCCCCACATGACACACCCCCCACATGACACCAGACCCCCCACATGACACCAGACACCCCCACATGACACCAGACACCCCCCACATGACACCAGACACCCCCCACATGACACCAGACACCCCCACATGACACCAGACACCCCCACATGACACCAGACACCCCCACATGACACCAGACACCCCCACATGACACCAGACACCCCCACATGACACCAGACACCCCCACATGACACCAGACACCCCCAGACACCCACCCCCCACATGACACCAGACACCCCCACATGACACCAGACACCCCCCCCCACATGACACCAGACACCCCCACATGACACCAGACACCCCCCACATGACACCAGACACCCCCACATGACACCAGACACCCCCACATGACACCAGACACCCCCACATGACACCAGACACCCCCACATGACACCAGACACCCCCACATGACACCAGACACCCCCCACATGACACCAGACACCCCCCACATGACACCAGACACCCCCACATGACACCAGACACCCCCACATGACACCAGACACCCCCACATGACACCAGACACCCCCACATGACACCAGACACCCCCACATGACACCAGACACCCCCACATGACACCAGACACCCCCACATGACACCAGACACCCCCACATGACACCAGACACCCCCCATGACACCAGACACCCCCACATGACACCAGACACCCCCACATGACACCCACCCCCCACATGACACCAGACACCCCCCACATGACACCAGACACCCCCCCCACATGACACCAGACACCCCCACATGACACCCCCCCACATGACACCAGACACCCCCACATGACACCAGACACCCCCCACATGACACCAGACACCCCCCACATGACACCAGACACCCCCCACATGACACCAGACACCCCCCATGACACATGACACCAGACACCCCCCACCACCCCACATGACACCAGACACCCCCCACATGACACCAGACACCCCCCCACATGACACCAGACACCCCCCACATGACACCAGACACCCCCCACATGACACCAGACACCCCCACATGACACCAGACACCCCCCCACATGACACCAGACACCCCCCCCACATGACACCAGACACCCCCCACATGACACCAGACACCCCCCCACATGACACCAGACACCCCCACATGACACCAGACACCCCCCACATGACACCCACCCCCCACACACACCCCCACATGACACCACCCCCACATGACACCAGACACCCCCCACATGACACCAGACACCCCCACATGACACCAGACACCCCCCACATGACACCAGACACCCCCCCCCACATGACACCAGACACCCCCCACATGACACCAGACACCCCCACATGACACCAGACACCCCCACATGACACCAGACACCCCCACATGACACCAGACACCCCCACATGACACCAGACACCCCCACATGACACCAGACACCCCCACATGACACCAGACACCCCCACATGACACCAGACACCCCCACATGACACCAGACACCCCCCACATGACACCAGACACCCCCACACATGACACCAGACACCCCCCACATGACACCAGACACCCCCACATGACACCAGACACCCCCCACATGACACCAGACACCCCCACATGACACCAGACACCCCCACATGACACCAGACACCCCCACATGACACCAGACACCCCCCACATGACACCAGACACCCCCACATGACACCAGACACCCCCCACATGACACCAGACACCCCCACATGACACCAGACACCCCCACATGACACCAGACACCCCCACATGACACCAGACACCCCCACATGACACCAGACACCCCCACATGACACCAGACACCCCCACATGACACCAGACACCCCCCACATGACACCAGACACCCCCCACATGACACCAGACACCCCCACATGACACCAGACACCCCCACATGACACCAGACACCCCCCACATGACACCAGACACCCCCACATGACACCAGACACCCCCCCACATGACACCAGACACCCCCCACATGACACCAGACACCCCCCACATGACACCAGACACCCCCACATGACACCAGACACCCCCACATGACACCAGACACCCCCACATGACACCAGACACCCCCACATGACACCAGACACCCCCCACATGACACCAGACACCCCCACATGACACCAGACACCCCCACATGACACCAGACACCCCCACATGACACCAGACACCCCCACATGACACCAGACACCCCCCACATGACACCAGACACCCCCACATGACACCAGACACCCCCACATGACACCAGACACCCCCCACATGACACCAGACACCCCCACATGACACCAGACACCCCCCATGACACCAGACACCCCCCACATGACACCACATGACACCAGACACCCCCACATGACACCAGACACCCCCACATGACACCAGACACCCCCACATGACACCAGACACCCCCCACATGACACCAGACACCCCCACATGACACCAGACACCCCCCACATGACACCAGACACCCCCCACATGACACCAGACACCCCCACATGACACCAGACACCCCCACATGACACCAGACACCCCCACATGACACCAGACACCCCCCACATGACACCAGACACCCCCACATGACACCAGACACCCCCCACATGACACCAGACACCCCCACATGACACCAGACACCCCCCCCCCCACATGACACCAGACACCCCCACATGACACCAGACACCCCCCACATGACACCAGACACCCCCACATGACACCAGACACCAGACACCCCCCACATG